ATTATATAAAGCATTTTGAGAGGCAGGGAAATAGCAAAAACTGAAGCATCAGAAATACTGTGGTTGACTCATGCAAGGGAGGTCATGCAAGGAAGTTAGACCGGACTGAGTCACCAGAAAAAAAACTTGGTACAACTGCAGGGGGCGCCAATCTCATGGACTACAGTGACAATGTGCTCCCAGAGGTATGCAAAAAGGCTGTCCCGTCAACAGCATCTTTCATTATGACATTTATTTACTGTAAGCCAGTATTCTGTGGGACTTCCCTGAACCCTTTCACTCATCAATATTTTATTCAGTAGCAGCAAGTCCCATGGTTATGGTGCCAGGTGGGTCTGCTGCCACAGTGCAGGGTGACCAAGACTGGGGGATGTCTGCTTCCATCATGCCAAGACCAAGAACAATGCAGTGTAAAAAAATAATAGAAAAATGCCTTACGTGAAAGCGTAACATAGCAACTCTCTACTGAACACTTAGTATGTGCTGGGCAGTGTTCTAAGCACTTCTCGTATGCATCATTTATTCCTCAGCATCCTCCACTGTACATCTGAAGAAAAGGAAGCACAGGGACATTGAACAACTGGCATAAGCTCACCCAGTTAATAAGAGGGGACAACACTGAAAACCAAGTTGTACTCCAGAAGCCTCACCCTCCACCGCTCTAAATTGGGAACCTAAAGTATCTATCTGCCTTCAAGACCTCTTGCCCATCTTCCCATAATAGAGAAGAGAGGGAAAGAGAGTGAAAGGTCTCCACCTGTCTCTAGCCTCATACCTGTCAGGGATCAAACAAGACATGAGTGTGACAAGTGGATATATTCAAGATATGCCCTGGAATAGATTGGGGCTATGGAAAGGGGAGAGAACACGTGTCCCTTTTTAAAAAGATAATACTGTTTTTACAGCATAAAAGACCAAAAGTACCAAAAAAAGAAAAAATAATGATGATGATGATGATGATTGTGATAGCTCTTATTTATTTATTTATTTATTAGGGACTGTTCCGAGCATTTTACACATATCAACACATTTAATCCTAACATCAACCCTATGAAATAGATACTATCGTCATCCCCATTTTGTAAATAAGGAAACTGGGCATGGGGACTTAGGCAACTTGCCCAAGGCCACAGGGCTAGTGAGAGGCAGGGCTTGGATTTGAACCCAGATGTCCTGGACATTGTCACCAACTTTTATGCCCTCCTCTCTGGCTCATCTCGTTCTTCCTCATCTCAGTCATCAGGAGATTCCCTCGCCCCCCTACACCCTCTTCCAAGCCCTGTCCCACCAACATCTTCCCAGCAGCCCCGTGGTACTGGTTCAAGGATGTTCATAACAAAGAAATCCACATTAAAAGTAAGGAGAACTTCAGGGTTTTTAGAAATCTCTGCTTCTTTCTCTCTTGTCCAAGAGATCAAAGAGCCTCACTTTGGGAGAACAAACAGAGGGAAAAGGCAAATGAAAGAGGAAAAGTTCACACTTGGGCTGAGAAACAGATGGCACAGAGGGTTGGGTGGAGTGAGACTTGACTGCCCCGCAACTCACCAGCCGGGTGTGTGTGGTGAGGGTGCTCCTCAGAAACCTTGGCAAACTTTCAACCAGCGCTGAGAACTCTCCCTCCCATGAAGAATCAAGACCCCCCAAAATCTCAAGATTTTTATTTCAAAACTGAAGACATTTTTTGAGATCTGGTAAATGAAGGTGTGGTACAGGGCTTTCAAATTTTGCAAAAAAAAAAAAAAAACTTTCAGATTTTCTGATAAACGTAACTCCCCCCAGCCCCCATCTCCAGGGCTGTGAAAAAATCTGTTATCTAAAAGGCATGGGGGAGTCTGAGTGAAGCAGTTTGGCATCTATTCTGCAAAGTTTAACAATGGAGATCAATTTAGTCCAATGGGAGCAAAATGTGTTTTTGTTTGTTTGTTGACCATTTATGATAGGAAAATACACGGTGATCTCTACTTTCTCCAAATAAATGTCTTCCATGCAGACCTGTTTGGAGCTTCAGATTGGAAATGGGATTCAAGGAGGAGAGCACTAAATGGGAAAGGGGTCAGGATCTTTGTATCTAAGGAGATGGAGGCTCAGATTCATCGTGGATTATTTTGAGCCTGCCCCAGTGTTAACAGAGAATTGATTTGCCCCTCACCCTTCCCTGGGGGAATCTGATGGTTCCTTCTGCCAGGACCAAAAATCAAATGGGCCAGCCTTCCCCTCTCCTCCTGGCCCCTCCAGCACCCCTCCCCCTGGACCTGTCAGTCCCAGTCTGAGGCCCCACCATCCTTACTGTCTCTCTTTGCTCTAACCACTGCTCCTCTCCCCTCCCCCCTGCTTTCCTGCTCCCTTGGCCAAAAGTTGGAGGATCCGCAAACACCCCAAATACAAAGCTCTACCAGCTCACATGGAATGACTCCAAGCAAGGGGAATTTTGTTTCCACAGATACTCACTCTGTGCCCTCTGTCAAGATGACCCCTTTGGGGAAGCCAAGCTTGGTGGCAATTTCAATTAAATGCAAAAAATTCAGTTAATAAATTTTTTTTTTTAAGACAGAAGGCAAGACAACAGCCTCTGGGAAAGCTAGGCTTCCTCCTGCCGCACACTTCTCTTCCTTTCCAGCTGGGCTGTGCAGTTATTGAAAACGTCGCCTGCCTCTCTTGTAATGGCACCAATTTCATTAGGAAGCAAATGCTCAGCGTTTCTTACATACACTCCTGGTCCTCTTCGGTGCCTCTGTTCCTTTGAAAGGTAGCGAATTAAATAGATTGGGAGCGGGGGGGGGAGGGCGGATAAGACGCCCCGCCTTGATCGCCGCTGTCACCCCCTCCCGGGCTGTTGTGGCCCCAGGGCATTTGGACTCCCGGGGTAACCAGAATCAATAAACAGGGCCGGAGCCCGGGGGCCCGCGTCATCTCGACGACACCGCAGGGCGAGTGAGCGATGGCGGTTTGGTGGCCGCCACGGAGCTTCCTGAGCCCCGGCCTCCCGCCTCCGCCGACCAAAGGTTTGCCAGTGGGACCGGCCGGGAGACAATAGCTGTCCCCGCGGGCGCGCTGTCGGCTTGTTTGGGAAGCCCGGAGGCGCTTCGAGGTAAAAAGGTCAGCGCGGGGTGCGGGTTTACCTCGGCCTCCTCCGCCCACCCCCAAGCCCCCGACGGTCCTCCGACGCCCCCTGTCCCTAACGCCTCGGGCTACCCTCCCCTTCACCCGCACCCCACCCCCTCGACCCTTCCGCGGCCACCTCCTTCCTGCCGCCCAGCGCCCCGAGACCGAGGGCGTTCACCTTGAGCCCCGGAGGAAGGGCATTTTGGAGGCGGGCAGGCTGCGGCCACTCGGACTCCCTATGTTCCCGTTGGGTCGCCTGCTGGAAGGGCGCTGGGGTGGTGGGGGGAAAGGAGGCTTGACCCGGGCGCCAATCTGGAGTTTGTCAGCGACCCATCCTCTGACTTTCTTGGAGCAAGACTGAGGGGCGGGGTGTTACCCAGCCCCACCCCTCGCCGCTTCACGCCTTCAGCAACTTCTTGCTGAGCGCCCACTCCATGCCAGGCTGCTCTGGGGAGACGGGTGGCAGGGAGTTGACGGGAAAGGAAAGGCGTAGAGTTTGCTTTCTTCCCCCCACACTTTCTCCTCTTTTTACACACTCTTTCTGTCCTCTCCTCCTAACAGATCTGTTTCTCTCCTTTCCTGACTTCTTCTCAAGACCCTCTCAGAACTGTCACCCCAAGGTCTTCTTCCTCCATGTCTTTCTGGGTTCTTCCAATGACCCATGCACTGACCACTGTCAAGCCTGTGTGCCTGAGGCCCGATTCTGCTTTGTCCTGCACCCAGGAAGTCCTTCTTGTCATCCAGCTGCAATCTTAAAGCTCAGCTCTTTCCAGCCCAACCAGCCAGTGCCAACTCTCTCACCTCTTCCCCAGGGCTCATGGGTTATGAGGGCTCCTCTACCCCTAGATGAAGGAGCAGAAGCAGACTGGAAGAGGGGAAAACAGACTTTATTGAAATGAGGTAGTTGGAGGTACAGAGAAAACATGGCTTGCTTGTGGCTCAAGTTTGCAGAAACGCAGATGGTGCCTCCACTGTCTCCAAGGTTCAGAGAAATGCTTGCACTGCTGGGAGCCCTCACTGTACCTGGGCCTCCCTGGGCTGTCCCCAGGAGCAGGGTGAATATGGAGAAGAGGGTCCGGGGTTTTCCAGGAGGCAATAAATAGGGGAGGAACTAGTGTGTGTGGGGGGGTGCCTATGCCTTTCTGGATGAGGCTTGCTGGGGGCAGGACTTTGCATGGCATTCCAAAAGTCTCTGGAGTATCAAGTTCCAAAACAGCTTAGTGACTTAGTGATAAAGTCGCTGGTGGAAGGAGGCAGGTCTCAGGAAACAACCCCTGGAGGCTGTGTTAGTGCAATACAAATGTACCAGGAGAGGGTTAATAGGGTTAGGTTGGGGGCACGGGGGTGCATTTGGCCTGTCACAAGGCAGCTGGTGTTATTGTAAAGTCTGTGGATTAAGGATTAAGATTAAAGATTGGTAATAATGTGCCTGCACCCAAACATCTCCCACACAAGAAAAGTCAAGACCTTCTCTGTCTAGGGCCCAGAAGGGGGAATTAGGATAAGAGCGCATGAGGAGAGTCCTCACGGCGTCAAGGCACTGAACTGAATAACCACAAGGTGGAAGGGAATGAGAATCCAGGAGGACGTGGCTGGCTCCCACCCCACTCTCGTACTGACAGTGAGCTTATCCCCAGATCAAAGGCGGAAGCCCTTCCCTCCACATCTGACAGGTTTGGTGTCTCCCAGGCCTCTGGTCCTGCAGGGCTCCAAGCATCAGTGCCCTGCTAAGATCTGAGAAAAATGTCTCCCCATACGGCTTCCCCACAGCTCTAAACTGGCGTCCCAGCCTTGGAGAGGATCACCAGGGCAGTGAATCCGAGGCCAGGGGGTGGGGACAGGCCAGACTGGGGTGCTCAGTGTCAGGAAGCCCCTTCGGCTGGGTTGGGAGGTTGAGTTCAGGTGGTGATGGAGCTGGGCGAGGCTTCCGGAGAGGTGCATGTTGACTGGTCTGAGGCATCTCCAGCCACCTCGTTGGGGCAGCCTGGGGGGGCTGGAGGCACCCGGGTTCCCTCTCGCTCACGCTTCTTCTGCTTCATGCGTCGGTTCTGGAACCAGATCTTGACCTGCGTTTCATTGAGCTCCAGGGTGGCGGCGATCTCCACCCTCCGGGCCCGGCTCAGGTACTTGTTGAAATGGAACTCCTTTTCCAGCTCGGTCAGCTGCCGCGTGGTGAAGTTGGTGCGGAGGCCGCTGGGTGCGCCCAGGCTCAGCTCAGACACCTTGGCTAGGGCGGGGCGGGGAGAAAGGCCACGTCAGTTCTCTCGCCTCTTCCTCCTTCCCCTTCCCTCCTCCCGGGACAGCTCTGCTCCCCCATCCACCTTTCTATCCAGCTTCAGTTCTCTAAGTTCCCACGGATCATCAAGCACCCCCATGGCGATCTCCAGATCTGGAGCAACCTCCCCCTACTTCCGTTCCCCACCCCGACGCACAGCAGGTCCTGGGCCTGTGCTGGGCGCGCAGATCAGGAAGTGGGATGTGTATGGAAACTTACTCTTGGGGGTCACCAGGCACTTAGTGGGTGAGGAGACCTCACTTGAACTGAGAAGGGGCAGAATGCTCTTACCTGCCTCAGCCAGGGCGGCTGAAAGAGAACAACCCAGCCCAGGCCCCGGACACGTCAGTGCAGGGGCAGCAGAGCTGCCTTGAGCCCCGGAGGGGAGGTGGCCACATCTGAGCCCTACCTGTCTTGGGTGGGTTTCTTTTAACCTTCATCCAGTCGAAGGTCTGGGCCGTAGGGGTGCTGGGTTCTGACGGGCAGGACGATTCCTTGTCCTCGGAGAGGAGATCAGCGTAGGCCGGTGCAAAGCTCGCCGTCTGCTCGTTCCCGTAAGGGGGCTGCGGCGGAGGGTACGGCCCCGGGCCCGCTCCACCGGCTCCGTAGCCGTCGGACAAGCCCCCTAGCTGAGCCCCGTAGCTCGAGGGATGAAAATAGCCTCCGTCTGCTTCCGATTGACCCAGAGGATAGTACTGAGAAGAAGGCCCATAGCTGGGGCTGCAGGCCGCCGGGGCGTACCCCGAGGGCGCGGAGCTGGGGAAGGGTACCCCCAGCGCCGAAGGCGGCTGCGGGGTGGGGTAGTTCTGCTGGAGCGCGGGGCTGGGCAGCCCCCCGCCATAGCGGCCCTCGCCTGCGTAGCTGTCAACGGCCGGAGCCGAGCTACATTATACGAAGTTATACGAGCCATGCAGGCCGCCGGGGCGTACCCCGAGGGCGCGGAGCTGGGGAAGGGTACCCCCAGCGCCGAAGGCGGCTGCGGGGTGGGGTAGTTCTGCTGGAGCGCGGGGCTGGGCAGCCCCCCGCCATAGCGGCCCTCGCCTGCGTAGCTGTCAACGGCCGGAGCCGAGCTGTGGGGGAAGGAGGTTGGGGCGCTATGGGCGCCGTGGGCGCTGTAGGCGCTGGGTCCCCGGTTACAGAGTGGGTACTCTAAGAAGGAGTTCATCCTATTATAGTCCATGCGTCGAGGACGCAGGAGGGTCGGCCCGTTTGGGGGAGACACCCTCTTGCCCTACAACCTTTCGGCAGTATGTCACAACGCTGAGGCTCGCGTCCATGGCCTGGCCCAGCTCGCCTGGGCCAGCGCTTCCCTAGGAAGCGGGTAGGGAGTGGGGGTCGGGGGGCGCATGTGATCTCTCCCAGGCCAATGGGCTAAGCGGGCCAGAGTTTGGCAGCCCCAGCGCCCATCCATCACCCCCCAAGCATTAGCATGACAAAGACACTTCAATCACCCGCAGCCCATCCATCTGAGAACGACGTGGAAGCTCAAAAACATCTTTCTTCAAAGACTTTTGGAAAGAAGGGATGGGGGGAGAGTTGGAAGAATATTCAAGGCTTTCCTTCACTCCCAACCCCCAAGGCCTTCACTAGGCTCCTGGGTTATTAGATTTGGACAAATTTAACCCAGCTGCCTCTTACTCTTCCCACCCCTCAAAATAGCCTTTCCCCCCAAGGCTGTAGACCTGGAGATAGGAAATTTAGCCTCCTTACTTTGGCCAGAACTCCCATTCTGTGTTTCTTTCTCCCAATTTTTCTTGGAGTGATGGGTTAGGACAGCTGGGTGAGGTATGTTATCTTCAGCCAAATGGATGACTGTGGGGGTGGGGGTGTAAAAACACCTAAGAGTGTGAGGCTGGCTCTAAAATCTAGAGGAAGAATTCATTAAGAGACGAGTGGGGAAATGGCAGTTCGGGAAGCAAGACAGGACTACAGAAATGCAGAGACGAGGCTGAGAAACAGCCCATTCCTCTCTCCATCTCTCTGCATAAACGCTCTCTCCTCATTCACACATCCATTTCTCTCCCTCAGCCTCTCTTTATATTCTCTCTGTCTCAATCCATCTCTCTCCATATTTGTATTCGCTCCTTGCCTATCCATCAGCTCATCTCCCTGGATGTATTTATCCTCTCTCTAGCCATCCATAGCTATAGCTGGCTCACTCACTCAGACCTAAATAACTCCCTACATCTCTCCTGAGAGCCACAATGAGCAGAGCTAGGTGGTGTTTACAGCGGGTGAAGAGGAGGGGAATTTTTATTCTCTTTCTGAAGCGTTTAAAACTAGCGGAGCCCCTGTGTTCTTCTGGTTCTCTCCTACCCCTCTCTCCTTCACCACCCTGCACCTCCTTCCCCCAAAATAAAAAAAGTCCCAACCCTCAACTTGATAAATTCAATACCATTTAAGCCTTAGAGGTTACTCAAATTTTCAATGTATTTTCTAGAATAGATATAGGAAGTTTGCTTAGAGAATGGGAGAATAAGTGTGGAGGCCCCAAGGCTCTGAATTCTAAGGCTCAGGAGTGGAGTCTGTTGGGTTAGAGCTGGAAGGGAGGAGAGCAGGAAGTGCCCTTCTCACTGTCTCAGACCCCGGATGGGGCTAGAAGAGAAGCTTTTAGGTAGAGTCCACTGATTCTCTTCCTCCAGACTCCGAGGACAAGAGCTTGGTGCAATCCAACACCCACACTCATTTGTAACCTGTCAGGGTGTCTGCCCGGCCGGAGGCCTGGGGCCAGAGCTAGGGCAAGTCCAGGAGGGCAAGAGTTCAGGGAGGCATCTCTGTAAACAATTGAGCTCAGGAGAGGAAGGAGAAGCAGGTGGGACAGGTCCAGGGAGGGCCTTAAGACTTAGTTTTCCCTACCCCCAAAAAGGGCTAAGTGAGTACTTATCCCTCTGCAATGAACCTCAAAGTTGTCTCTCTCAGTCTTTGTGTCTCTCCATCTTTCTGCCTCCCCCTAGTTTTGCTTGTCCTTCTCTGTAGTCGCCTCTTCTGCTTTCTATTCTGTACCACCAGAATCACACTGCCTTTCTCTTCTCTAGTAACTGTGAGCTTTGCTTAACCCCAAAGTACAAAAGAGCTCAAAGCATTTCACAGAACCCCTGTCTCCTTTCTCTCCTTGCATGTACTCTGCTTTAGACCCTGCTTCAGATCCAGACAAGTTGCAGGGAGGGGGACCAGCTGGTAACTTCTTTAAGAGAGATGCAGTGGGGGAGGGGGAGGGAATGTCCACTTGCCAAGGGAATCAGAGCAGACAAAGGACAGGAGAACTTGGGGGGCACAGGGGGAGGTGGAGATGCAGCAGAGGGATTGAAGAGGAAAGAATTACTGGGGTGGGAGCGAGCATATTTCTTTCTATTTCACCATTTGGAGTGGAGGGGGGTTGTAGATGCTTCCCACATTTTCCTCTCATTTTAAGATGTCCTTCCTACAGAGGCTGGGAACTTTGGAGAAGACCTTTGTGTATAGGTAACTAGGTTTTGTCTTCTAACCCCACATCTAAGCTAGGCTATATCTGACCTGATTGTCCTGCTTCTGAGAAACTCAAGATTTTACTTTCCACCTTTTCCTCATCCAAGGGAGAACCTTCTCACCCCATTAAGGAAACAATTTGAGGTGTAAAGGAAGAAGCACATTCTAAATTAGTTTAATAAAATAGCACAAATCGGTCTGGGAGCCAGGGAAATGCATTTCCCCTATAACAGCTGAAGTTACCAATAGTCTATTATTAATGACAGGAAGAAAAGGCTGGGGTAAGTTATACTGCACCACAACTTATACTGCCAATTGCAGTGATTGCTTTGGCCTCAGTTCTCCAGCTTCACTATGCTCTCCTGATATGGATTGAACTGTATCCCCAAGTCTTATGTTTCAGAGGCACAATCCCCATTTTAACTGTTGAGAGTGGGAAATCCTATTATGATAATTGAAAGATGGATCATTGATGAGGTGATTAGATTCTTAGGACCATGTGCTAATAAATGGATTAATAATGGTGGTCATGGGTGTGGTTCTGAGGGCTTTAAAAGGAGAGCATGTGAGAGTCTCTCTTTCTGCTTCCACCATCTCACAATGTGATACCTCTGTGTCACCACCAGATATGTTCCCTAGACTTTAGACTTCCCAGCCTCTGAAACAGTAAGCAATAAATTTTGTTTTCTTATGAATCACCCAGTTCTGGGTATTTTGTTATAAGCAACAGAAATGGAATAATACATCTCCACTGAGTCTTACCATCTTCCCTTGTGTAGGAGGTACATTAAAACTTTCCAAAATTTCTTTCAGCTCTCCCAGCCCCAGCAGAAAGGACTGGGAGAACCAAGCACCTTGGTTCCCAAGTCTCCTCCTCCTTAAAAGAAGTTACACCAGTGGGAGTAACCTCTGGACTATATAATTTTCTGATTAACAAAATTAGATTCACCAGAGAGAGTCGTGGACCCAACACCAAAGTGAAATAAAGTTGATTTCCTAGTACATGTAATCTGCTTAGACAATGTAAGAGAACAGAGAGAATATAAGCATGATTAGAACTAAGATTAACTTTGAGGGTTGTTGGTTCTTATCACATGAGAAAGCAGGCAGGGGAACCATTCTAACCAGAAGAGGGATATAGTGGAAGTTTAAACCTCAGATTCTAGTCCTTTCTGTGGAGGAAGCCGCTTGGGCTGGGGTTAGCAGGGACAATCTAACAGTTCTTTCCTTAGACCTTAAATTTCTCTATCTTCTATCTCCAGTTCAAATCTTGGGAGGCCAAACCCAATATCAAAGATTGGAGCTTAAGAACTAAAAGAATATTCAGGGTTATAATTTTTTCACTATAAGAGATGACTCCTTGTTGCTGTTGGGGGAAGGATAGAATCTGAATTCAGTGTTGTTTCTTTTAAGCTAATTGAACCACCATGAATCTGGTTGAGAACCTTAGACTGTGGGCGGAGCATAGTGTAATGGGATGAGTACTGGGGTTGGGGCCAGAATACTTGGGTTCAAGTCCTTGCTAAGCCATTTCTTAGCATTATGACCCTGGACTGACTTTTTTGAGCCTCAGCCTTAGAGAATAAGAATGGGTTTAATAGTACTTACTTCACTGCATTGTTAGTAGGATTAAAGCAAACAAGAAAATATTAGTTTTAGAGAACTCTATAAATGTATGATATTAACATTACATGCACATTTGAGTCAGTTTCTGTTTTTAATATAACTAGCTTATTAAAATATGGAAATATGTGATAGGAGAATAGCATATGAGCTATATTTTCACGTAACATATCACCATATTTTATTTTATTTATTTTTATTTTTTATTTTTCTTTCTTTTTTAAAGATGACCAGTAAGGGGATCTTAACCCTCGACTTGGTGTTGTCAGCACCACGCTCAGCCAGTGAGCGAACCGGCCATCCCTATATGGGATCCGAACCCGTGGCCTTGGTGTTATCAGCACCGCACTCTACCGAGTGAGCCACAGGCCGGCCCATCACCATATTTTATATAATATGTGCTTTATCATATGCAAATTTCACTGAGAATTGAGAAGTTTGGCTGTATTTAGGCAAAGGATTTTCTTCTATGCTGAAGGGTTTTTTGAAACTAAAGCTTAACATTTTATATCTATAAGGAACCCAAATGATTAAAAATACAGCATAAAGACTTTAGGTTGGATATGAGAAAGAACTTCCTGGTTTTTCAAATATTTGGGGAAAGTTTTCTGGAGAAGATGTTGTTTCTCCTTCCTTAAGGGATTTAGCTTAGAAACTGTCCTTCCCAGAGGGAGAAGGGATTGAAACAGACTTCTGGGATCTAGACAGATCAACAGGATGTAAACTTTCATCTGGAGTGAATGATTGGAGGCATGATTGAACAATGATTGGGATCTTTCTAAAAGGAAAGGCTAGAGTAACATGAAGAATTGAAATAATTTTCTACTTAATTGGGTTTATCTAAGTGCAATAGTTTTGGCTAAAATATCCACTTTGAAACCTTTATCAAACACTGATCTGGCTGAAATTGGATCTGAATGACTGTCCAAGACTGATTTTTCTGCAGTGATTGAGAATTGAAGGTTTTAAGATGGTTGTTAGTTCCTTCAGGTACTAAATATCTGCCTCACCACTGATGCTGAGAGAGGGATGGGGGCTGGGGGCAGAAGAGGGGCAGGCAGAGCTAGGCTGGAGAGGTCAGTGGAGGAGCTGGGCTCTACCAGCCCCAGCAGGCAAAGGGGACGAAGTGGGGCTCTAGAGGCCACCTTCAAACTGAGGACACACCTTAGACACAGAGTGTATTTCAGGAATATGTGCAGTGGGGCCGATGAGTGCTCATCAGAGACTTGACTTGGGGGAGAGATGGATAGGAGAATTCAGCAGGGCTGTTTAGGGAGACTCAGAATTTGTGTCTGTTATGCTCTGATCCCCCAGCAACCAGATAAAACCTGCCTAAAGGGGACTTTTAAAGTCTAGTACATCATGTAAAAGAAGTTTTGTGGCTCTTATATTAATTGGCCAACTCTTTTTTTAGACAAGAGTAAACATAACCAACTGTTGGGGGAGGTGGCAGAGAATGAAAGCCAGAGGAAAACTTAGTTAGGACACTTTTTTTTTCAGATGGCCTGTATGGAGATCAGAACCCTTGACCTTGGTGTTCTAACCAACTGAGCTAACGTGCCAGCACTTTGGCTAGAATACTGCTTAATACTCATATTTATTGAATACCTAGCACCTGGCACACAGCTCTGCAACCAATTACATGCTTATTGGAAAGATTTCTCTCCCTACTCACTGAAATAATGATTGGGGCATGATTGTTGTGTAAAAATTCAAGTTAAAATTTGTTAAAATGGCTCCACCAGATACATGGGAGATGGTTTATTGTCAAACACTAATAGTCACTTAAGAGTACATGACACTGGCCATATAAATGCATAGTACATTGTTTGCAAAGACTTACAAATATACTTTTGGCACATATTAACACAGAGTACATTAGAGGTATTTAATTCTTCCATTTATTTCACAGATAGAGAAACTGAGGTCCAGAAAGGTGAAGGGACTTGCCCAGGCATGAGTTAACTTTTTTTTTTTTTTTAATGACTCAGGGTTATCAGGATTGTAAGCAATTCCTCAATCTAATGGTCCTTTGCTTTCACCATAATATTAATGGGCCATTCTTCTTAAAAGAATGATTCACCAAGAGCAGGGCAGACTGACCAGCAGCTTTCTGGGCTGCAGTAAAACCTTCCCACTCCAACCACAGCCAATTTATAACCAGTGTGTGCTGCAGTTCTGACCCAAGAGGAGCCTTGCCCCAATCAGGATGGGATAAGTGATCTCATCTGCCTGGTACTGCCCTCTAATCTGCCACCACTGGGGTTTGGGAGGGTCTGCTGCCCCACCTGGGAACACTCTTCTTACCTTTCCTTCTCTATAGACAACTGGGAGAACTCTGACTAAAGAGGATGACCCCCAGGGATGAAAGTAGCAAAAGGAGCTAATTTGGAACACAGACATCCTGAATCCCAATCCTTATTGAATCCTAAATTGCCAGGCATTCCCTTCAACTTGAACTTGGGTGGAAAGATTGAAGATGGGAGTTATTTCCTTCCAGAAATGCACCGCCTCTTTGTTCTGCTGGGGTGTCATCAGAGATGGTGTTTTGTGACTTTGGGAAAGGAAAGACAAAAAGGCTTGTGTGTTTCCTGTAAAAAGAGTTCCAACTCCTGTCCAATAATCAGCTAAGGGAAATGCCAAACCTCTTGATTCTCTGGATTAGGAACTTCTTATGCCCAGGATACCAAAGTACCTGAATCTAAACAGGTAGATTGAGCCTTTGGCTGGACACTCCTGGCTTTTCATTCACTTTGGCAGAGAGGTATCAGAGCTGATGCAGCCTCAGGCAGGAGCTGAGATTCCCTGCCCTTTCGGCCACTGGTTCAGCCTGGGAGTGTTGGAAGGAAGTGGCCTGGTAAACTGGGTCAAACATTCTTAAGCATGGAGGAAGACAGGAAGCAAGGTGGCACTGTAATTTAGCAGTACTACTCAAACTTTAATGTGCATATAAATCACTTGGGGAGCTGTTAAATTGCAAATTCTCATTCAGTAGGTCTGGAGTGGGGCCTAAGAGTCTGCATTTCTAACTAGCTCACAGATAGTGCTGATGCTGCTGGCCTATGGAGCAGCCAGGCTGGAGAGAACTGGAGCCTCAGAGGCCCCTGAGTATTGCAGACCATGATCCCAGGAAGGGAATTCTCTCCAGCAGAGCAGATCCTGCATTTTTTTTGGCATTGATGAAGGGTGCTCTACTTTTGACCAAAGAAAGCTGGAAGGTGGGCAATTAGTAAGATCCTTCTGGTATTCTTAATCTTCATAACAACCTGCTATAGCTGCAAGAGCATTTTTAATTAGACCAAATTATCTGGTTTGGTTGCCTGTAGAAATCAAAGCCCCAACTGAAATGTCTCTTTCATTTTGCTAGTGTAGAGATGGCTTGTGTGCTGTGATTTTTAAGATGTTAAACACTGCCTGTGGGCATATTTTATGGAGAAATAAACACACAGCCCAATGAGATGTATAGTGTGATTTTAATATATTGTATATTCACTTATTTATGAGGAAAATAAACACACAAACCAATAAGCTGTGTATTATTACTTTAATATATTGAATTTATTTCACACCTATATATTTTATGAGGGAAAATAAACTAATAAGGTACATGATATTATTATAATAGCACATCTAATTGTTCTATATTAATTTATTTATGAGAGAAATAAGTGCAATTTAACATGACATAAGATTATTTAATGCAAGAGACGAGTGCTATATTAAGACAGTTTGAGGGATTAAGTTCCAGCTGAAAAAAATGCGTGTAGTTCTCACACTGAGGGACCAGTTAAAAAAGCAATGGCCCTGTCTAGTCCTGTATGTCACAACCTATGCTGGCTCCTGGCTTATCATGACAGTTGCTGCCTCTCGGTGCCTGGCACTCCAGGTCCCCGTCTGTTGGTCTGGGGGAAAGTCTGAGAGGCCCAGGAAATAAACCGCTTTTAGAGAATGGCAGCATCTGCCAGGGAGGTAACCCCGCGGTGTCTGTTTCTAAGCGGGAGAAATATTAAATAAACCTAAGGAGGATGGATGGCTTTCCAGGGCCCTTTAAATCTCCACGTTCCCGAGAACGAACCAGGAGGCAGATGGGGGAGATCCATCCTGGCTTCCCGCTTACCAGCTTTACAAGGAGCCGGGCAGGGTGCGGTGGGGGATAGGACACGGTGTTGAGACGGAAAATGAAGTTGTTGGCAAAGACAGGTGGGTCTGCACGTGCGGAAGGCTCTGGCCGGGCTTCAGATCCCAGAGCCAGAGCGAAGGGTCTCAGGCGAGAGTCGGCGCGGCCGTCCCGGGGCGCCCCCCGCCCCCTCCCGTGCCCACCCCCACGCGGACTCTCCGTCCATCTCGCCTCCGTCGCTTCCTTAAGGCTCATTTTAAAAATAACAAACAGGCCAGGAAAAAACAAAAACAAACAAGCAAAAAAACCCACCCAAAGAATGCAGACTCCCGGGCTCCCTTCCCTGCCGCGCGTCTGGAAGCCGGGGCAGGGGAAGTGGAGGGCGGGCGCGGATCCCCGGGGCGCCCGCGCATCCCGGAGCGGCTGTCATGGCGGCCACCGTGTCTTCGCTCGTCCTCCCGGCCGCCCGGCCCCAGCGCCATTTTGAGCACCCTGCTCGCTCCCGCTCCCCTCGACCCCCTTCTCGGCACGTAGGCCGAGTGCCTCCCGACGCCGCCCGAGCCTTTCTGGCCTTGTCCCCCTGCTGCTCCTCCCATGTTCTCCCAACGCCAGGAGCCCCAGGGTGACTGCGGGCACCGAAGGACATCTGTGCCCGGCCGCGCCACCTTTCTCGGCCTGCCCCTTTTCTTGCCCACTTGGAGGCCAGTTATCTTCCCTGGGCACGGGGCCCTGCTTGCAGAGAAAACCCCTTAGGCGCCTGCAGCTCCAAGGAGGCCCGGCCCACGCCCCAGGCCCCGCGTCCCCAGGCTTCCTGAGCTCCGCCGAGAAAGCCCCCGCACTCGGCTTCGGGCACTGGAGCGAGAAGCCGGGGAAGCCCTAGGGCACTTCAGCTAAACCTCTGCGTCCCCGCCGCCACTCTGAAGTCTGTCCTCAGGCCTCCTCTCCTTGCACCCCTTTGCTCCACGCGCCCACATTTATTTCTACGAGGCCCAGGGAACACCCGCTCAGGGCCAAAGGCCGTCTGTTGGGGGAGCGGGGAGGCCACTGAGCTTGCAGCAATCCCCCGACTCTTCTGGGATCCCCGGGCAGAGAAACGGTCACCACTCGGGGCCACCTTTGTACCACCCGGACTTCGCCAGCCCAGGGGTCTTTGCCACCACATCGCTGCTAAACACGTCCAACCTCGCACCAGTCCTGGACGAGTGAAGACCGGCCTCGGGGACGCGGGAAAAGGGGCTGGGTCCCAACACAAACACTCGTTTTAGTATTATAAAGACATTTATTTAATCTATGAAAATAATGTACAATAAATACTTTCCCCTTTTCCTATTATTAAAGAATTTTAATAAATAGTCTACGGTCTAAAACTTAAAAAAAAAAAAAAAAAAGGAAATAGGTCCCTCTAGTTCTTTTTAAGAAAGCCCCCTAGAATTTAATTATTCCTGAGATTTCGTTGGAAAGAGTCTACCAAACGGAATTTTTCTGGGTGATTTTAAAAAGACGCCAAGTGTCCGATATTTTAGAGAAAAAAGAAAGGTAGTGGATTAAACACTAATTCATTAATATTTGAATTTTAGCAAAACACGTAAAGAATTCTATGCGACTGGGCGGTGGGGGAGGCTCGATTTTTCCCGCAGAAGACCAAGGAGGGCAGGGGTCGAAAGGGCCGGGAGGAGAAAGCGGGTTAGGGGAACTGCAGGTCGATGGCACAGAGCGTGCTGGTGAAGAAGTCCAGCTCTTCCTCGGAAAAGGGGACCGGGCTGTCGAGCGAGCTCTGTAGGCTGGGGGAGAGGCCTCCGGAGAGCTGAAGACAGGATTCGGCCGCGAAGAAGTTGAGGTCGGGCAGGAAAGGCGAACCCTGCGGCTCCGGGAAGGCGTCTTCTGACAATGGCTCAGGCTCCAGCCCGCCGGCCCCGCGCAGTGCGCAGCCAGAGCTCGGCGCGCCCGCCCCCTCCAAGCGAGAGGCCAACGGCCGTGCGCCCGGGACGCTCGGGAGCCCCGGCGCGACCTCGCGCAGGTGACAGCAGGCTTCCCGCGCCGCCCGCGAGGCGGAGGCGCCGCCTGGGCTGGGCGCGGGCTCCTCGGCGGGGTCGCCGGTGTCCTCCAAGGCGCCCGGACAGGAGGGCTCCCCGTCCGGCGGCTCTCGGTGCTGAGTCTGCCGCTTGTGCTTCATGCGCCGGTTCTGGAACCAGACTTTGACCTGCCTCTCGGTGAGGTCCAGCAAGGCCGCGATCTCGACGCGCCGCGGCCGGCACAGGTACTTGTTAAAATGGAATTCCTTCTCCAGCTCCAGCAGCTGCGTGTTGGTGTAAGCCGTGCGCAGCCTGCGCGCCCCGCCGCCGCCCTCCGGCAGTCCCCGACCATCTGTAGGGAAAGCAGACTTGGCGTCACAGCCGGCCGTGTCTTCAGCCCAGCCTCAGTCCGGCTGAGATAAAGACTACCCCATCGGCCAAAAACAGTATCAGCAGTCTCCCCTTCCTCCCCTCGCCCTCCGAGGGCGACCGGTTCTCAATGCTCTTCGGTTCTTTCCGCTCCCTCCCTCGCTGGCACAGCCGGCCCGGGTCAGCGCAGAGCTGTCAAAGCCGCCCACGGGCCACGCAGGGGGCGGGGAGCGGGTCCCTTTTGCGCCCAGAACCTCACAGCTCCCCTCCCAAGTCCTTTTAGTGGACCCCTCAATTCAAACCTTTCCAACTCCACCCGGGGAGAAGGTTCATAAAGATCGCTCTTCGCCCCTTTTCCTTCCTCAAATTCCTCTTCTCCTAGGGTTAGGGGATGGAGGATCGCATCGTTCTCTGCCCCCTGATTCAACCCCAGCAACAACACACTCATTCCCCTACACAGATACGGGCGAAAACCTCAATCTAAAAAGATCCTCCCCAGCCAGCTTCCAAAATCTGTTGTAGAAAAAAAAAAAAAAAAAAAATTGCTAGCAGCGGCCAGGCCTGAACCCCAGCGGGATATTCTGGTTCCCCATCCCGAGAATGGACGGGGCAAGGAATCCCAACAGGCTCGCCACCTTCTTACCTCCCCTATGGCTCTTTCTCCCCCTCTCGCTTAGCTGCCCCTCACCCCACCCCCACCGCGCTTACCGACCTGCAGGCGATCCGACCCCGGAGGCCGGGACGGAGGAGGCAGCCGGGGAAGGAGACGTGGCGGATTGGCTGGGTTTCTTGGCCGGCTTCTTCTCTTTCATCCAGGGGAACTCGGGGGCTGGGGGGGCGGCGGGGAGCGGCGGCAGCGGCTGCTGAGCAGGCCCATCTTCGGCTTGCTTTTGGCTCCCGGGTCTCTGAAGGGTGGAGGCGCCGAGCTGCAGGCTGGGGAAGGTTTGCTCGAAAGGAGGAGGAGGAGGAATTAATGTCGACTCCTTGATTGATGAAGTTTGAAATGTCTCCAAGACAGCGGGGAAGGAAGTCAGACACTCGGCGAGCGATGGCTGGCTGTTTATAAACCCAATCTCCCTCTCAAATTCAAAATTCATGGCTTTCAATGGTGGGGGAGGGGGCCTGCTGGGGGGGGCGTCAGGAGGGAGGATCGGAAGGGACCCCCCCTCCTGCCCCCCCCAGGTTTATGTGATGGAGCGATTTTGGGAGGGGATTTCGCTCTCTCTTTTTTTAAATTTTGGGCTTTTATAATTGTATATTGCTGATAAATACAAGCGTATGGGGACTCTCTCTATTAAACCCAGGACTCTGGCGAAATTGCAGGGAATTCGTGGTCACGGGACCGGCCTTGGCCAATCACTCGTCTGGGCCTGGTGGAAAACAGAGAGCATTATTTGCTTTAATTGATTCAAAAACTCCAGAGGACCACGACCTGGACACCATGAGCCCCCCATTCCTACACCCGTGCCTCGCATTCTTTCTCCCCAGTGCCTCCCTTTCTCCAGAAAACCTAGAGGAACCTCTTCCTCAATCCCTTCAGAGGATGGGAGGTTATGGGAGCCCGGGAAACAGAAAATCCAAGGGAGACAACTTCCTCTTTCCCAAATATATTTATTAGAGTAAATCAATGCTTTTCTTTACACGGCCACCAGCGTTCTCTTCCCCTCTCCCCGCCGAAGAAAAACGGGTGAGGATCTAAATGTGGGAGGAAGAGGAGGCTTCCACTCTGTGGGAAAGGTCAGTGTTAAGGTGCAAATAAGGAAAAGAGATTTACAATCATCAGCACCACTATCCCCATCCCACCCTTCAAAAGCAACAGCTAGATCTTGGAAAATGGCAGCACTCCCAGGCTGGCACAGAGGAGGGAGATAGGTGGTGAGGGGCACTTGGGGCCTGTGGCCTCCATAGCCACGTGGCCTGGGTTTCCTTCTCTGCCCAGTGTTTGCACTGCCCCTGCCCCTTATGTCCGCCTGCTTTCCTCACTTAAGGGCATCTATACTCTTCCGTGACACTCCTCCTCCAAGAGGCAGGGTCCAAGAAACATATGTACCCACTTAAGCCTCAAGCCTGCATCTATATCTATATCCAGGGACATGAATGAAAACCAAGGTAGCCATTGATTTAACTTAGAGCTCTCCTGAAGCTCAGGTCGATGTGGGGTAGGAAGGGGGAGATTTTCCCTTTAGGACAAAGAGATTCTTCCTCCCATTTTTGTCATTGTGCTAGTTAAAAAAAAAAAAAAAAAATCCCTGGAAATAAAGAATTCCCTGAAGATGGAGGGGGTGGAAGTAACAACCACAGAGATGATATACCATTTCTGCCCCTGGGGAAAATTGTTTTTAAATTTATTTTATTTTGAAGGGACCAAGATATAGTCTGAACTTTAGGGAGTGCTGTGATTTACTAGAGGGAGGGGGCCCAAGACTCAGAGCCCCAGGCAATTGGTGAGAAACTAGGCCTCAAAGCAGAAAATGAAAAGTAGATGGGGAGGGGGAGATTTTTAAATAAGTGGGTCAGAGGGACAGAGAGGAGATGAGGCGATCAATCTTAGCCCCCTGACAGCTCCCTCCGATTGCATCAAAGAATTTGGCTCTTTGGGAAAGCAGAGGGAACAGCCGAAATTCCACATCCCTTAAAAGGGGGGGGGGCGGGGTGGCAGAAGAGAAAGGTGATTCTGGGAGAGCTGGGAAACAGATGGGAAATGGGGACAGAGGGAAGACGCTAAGTTGGGTGGAAAGTTTGCCTGGAGAACTCCCACGGCTCTGGCCTCCCCTCCCCCTCCTCGTCTCTGCCGCCCAGCCAGGAGGAGGAGGATGGTTAGCAGAGAAATGGCAACTCAGCCGCGAGCTGCAACTAGAAACTTTCTGTCAATGTAACATCCGCGTGGGTGGTGGTGAGTATTTAAAAAGAAGGGCAGAGAAGTCTGAGTGAAAGGGTGGGGGCGGAGGAGCGCGGAGCGGGGGTGGTGGACTCTGAAGGGCTCAGAACCGAGACTGCTGCTCCGAACTGGGCAAACTGGCCGGAGATGGCTGTGCGCAAGGCGGCTCCAAAGAAAACAATGTTCGCCATTTGGAGATGTGCGTGGGGGGTGCACACGCAAGAATCCAAATTGTAACTGTCTGGAAATTGCACGGTGAGGCCTGAGAGAGGTTTCTCTCTCTGGCCACCCCCGTGAGCACCTCTGTAAGTTTTGCAACAGCTTCTCCAGCTGACTGCAGAATGGAGCACTTCTCTCGACCACTCGGGCCGAGAATGTCCCTGCAGGAAATACAGCTCTCTCTAACTCGCTGACAGATTTTATGGCCAGATTAGTGAACAGCGGAAAACTTAGGTGTTAAAAGGGACCAAGAGAGCCCTCCTTCCCAGAGACATCCCTCCCCCGCCCCCTTGTCCTGCTGCGAATCTTCCAGCAAATATTTTACCCATGTCTGTTGGACACTTTAGCTGAGCGCCTGGAATCTCACAGAGAGAAAGGTAGAGAACACCAAATCAACTTGTCCTTTATTTTTCTTGTTTACAATTCCAGCTTCAAGCGAAAGCTGTTTTTCAAATTCGACCTAAATTTTCTCTCTTGGCCTGCCTCGTTCCTTCTACGTAAATAAGCAATCCATCCACCCCCAGAGCCAAACATGGCGCTTCATCTAGTTAACATCATTCAGAAAATGTTATTCAGAGAAGAGGAAGAGAGAAAGAAATAAAGACCCTTGAGCGTTGTTTGATCCCAATCAAACTTTGCACGCTCTTATGCCTTTAAATTATAGCCTGACCCAATGCTAGATTGCTTGCTGCTTGGATGAGCCGAGTCCAGTTAAAACCCTACTTGGTGGGGGGCGGGGGTGTCGATGTAGAATTCAGGTTGCTTTTTTATTGTTATTTATTGTTGCATAAAGACGATAATTACTAACCTTGGACTGCCAGGATGCAACATAAAAATGAAAATCAGCCCTCGCTTTAAGGCCGAGGGCCTGGAACAATTCTCACTCCCCACCCCCCATCACTCCCACCAAATATATGCTCCTAATTAAGCAATGCGGGCGCATCGCTTACAATTAGAATTATGCAACTCTTCAGCAAGCAGCCATCGCTTCCCTTTCAACGAATTAGCTCCATATTTCAGCCGCCCTGTCTCCTCGCTCTTATCGGCTCCAGCGACACGGCGGTGACATTTCATCTTTGACAGACCCTCTCTATCCTCGCTCCAATGTGATAAAACTTTTATGGAACCACGACTAAGAAATGAAGTTTTCCCAAGGATCGTGGAAACAGCCACACATTAGCCTGGGGACCATTTTATTTACGCTTGGATCCAGCGGCTTCTCCCACCTTCCTCTCCCCTTTCCCTGGCAGGGGAAATCAATGAGCCTCTTCTCCCTCCGCCCCAGTTTTATTTAGTGATTTAATTTCACTGCAATTTTAAGGTTTGACCTGAGAAGTCTAGGCCTTTTTTTCTTTTTCTTTTTTTTTCCAGATTAATCATTTTCCTTTGTTTTCATTTTAGGCCCAATGGTGGTTGGGCATCGGGTCACGTGACGACTTCTTTGTAGCTCCGGAAGAGGACTGTGAAGTTTAGGCTGCTTGGAAGAAGCAGTAATCGGCCAGATTTTGTTGTTGGGGCGGGGGGGGGACGGTAGGTTCGCGGAGGTTGTGGCCAAAGGAGCCAGCAGACAAAAGGTCAATGAATGAGAAAAACTGAGAGGCAAAGAGGCCAAAACAGAAAGACCTATGGAGAGCCCTCAAGAGTCCTCCTCCCCGCAACTTGTTACTTAAACCTTGGCTAAAGAAGTTGGCAGAATGTCCCAGGCTCCTGTGAGTGACAAAAACTGTATTTAAACCTGAGACACATCGAGGGGGAAATAGAGGCCTGAACAGTGTGCACAAAAAGGCCAGGAAAGGGTCTTCAGTGTTCTCTTTCCCTTGGGGGAAATTTGGCAGCCAGCAGCGTTGCTCTGCTATCTAAATTGGACCACCAGAACAAGATAAAATTGATAACAGAAAGTTTATTCAAGAATTGTTTGACAGACAACCCCTTTTAAGTAAGGAAAAAAAAGTAACTACAGAAGAACAAAGAAAGTTCCAAGAGGGAATTAATTCTAATTCTACAAATTCAGGACTATACAGTGACGATTAGGAGCCGAGTTCATGCCTTTTAGAACTAATTACAATTGCTCATAAGTACGAGTGTAACATAAATCTACAGCTCTTTTCTAGAGTACGATAATAACTAAAATAGCTGGTTTTACATGACAGGAAACACAATGTCCTTTATAACAAGTAAATACCAAAAAAGTACAGTTTTTTTTTTCTTTTTTCCCTCATATAAATACATAATGTAGGGGGGATAAATAATACAAAAAAGAAAATATTTTAACAGGCTATAACCAATAAATATATATGAAAATGTTCACTAGAACACACGCTTTTTGAGCGATGCTGGACTTCTGCAGGCCCAGGCACCTCTCACAGTTGTTTTCATATCCATTAAAATGTAAACTCTAAGTGCAAGAAAAGTGTCCTGTCAGGAGGCTGAGCAAGGCATACAGGCCCAGCTGCAGCCCCTGCCTGGGACAGACAGTTTGTTCAAATATACCCTGTTTTCACGTTAAGTCAAGAGAGCAACAGAAGAAAAGAAAAGTGTAGAACCTCGTGTCACCGATTGATTTCTGTGGAATGAAGGGGATGGACATGGAGCTGAGTGGGGAAGCGACAAAATGGGCCAGTCTTCAGTCCTGATAACTTGCCTGCCCCAGCCTAACTTTTCCTTAAAAGAAAAAAATATATATTTATAATATAAGTAGCTCTTTCAGGATCTCTTATTATTCCTGAGCCCTCTGAAAACTGTAATTGATGGGGGTGGTGCAAAAAAAACATAGGGCTAGCAATGAAGGGGGTGCCCTAATAACCCTCAAATAGATGGGAGCAAATTTGAGGCTTCAAGGAAGTGGGAAGTGGTGGTGCTTTGTGCCCTTGAATTTGAAATGTGTTTTCTTCTTGTTTTAAGGAGAACTGAAGGGGAAAAAAATCAAGATGTGGGGGAATTACCCACAGAGATGGAAGGTAAGTTGGTTGGTTGGTTATTGACGGCCTAGCCATCTCATCTGTTGTTTTTTTGTTTGTTTGTTTGTTTGTTTGTTTTTAATGTGCTTCTCTGCCTTGCTTTCCTATCTTATCTTCCTCTACCGTACTCCCCAGCGTAGAATTCCAACTTGGTAGTGCTGCAGCCCTCGGGTTGATGGGGTCATCTCCAATCTGCTGTGGATTCCTTTCCGATGGGTTGGCAGGCAGATGGAACAAGGGGTGGAGGACTCAAAAGCAACCTCTCAGGCGAGGGGGAGGGGAGGGGAAGGAGCTCCAGGCCTCTTCTGTCCTGGAAGCCTGGCGACCCTCCCTACCCCCTCTTTCAGACCCCCAGGCTGCCCCCAGGGCTCCACAGCCTCCCACTTCCCACCCCTCGCCCTTGACCTCGCCCCTCCGTCCTTCCTCTCCCATCACAGGTGTGTTAATTTGGGCGCTTCTTGGATTCTACCCTGAGGAGGAGGCGCGTGGTGAGAGGAGAGGTCTGTGTAGGTGGGGTGTGGGTCGCAGGGTCCGTGGTGCTGGCTGGGGGCCATAGGGGGCGCCCCGTTGTAGTCCAGGTTCCCCGAGGGGTGGTGGGAGAGGTGGTTGAGGCCATAGAGGGAGGGGCCGGCAGGGGGCGGCAGCGGGTCCGCGTAGCCGCACCCGCCCACGTACACCGGGCTGCCCTGCATGGTGGGCGTCCCGTAGGCGCCCCCGTTGGCTTGGAGAACGTGGGGCTCGTAATCGGGCGCCGGGGTCGGGGGGTACTTCTGCGGAGCACCGCAGCCTTTGAGAGGGGGCTGGTAGTTAGAGGGCAGCGCATAGGCATTCTGGTGGCTTTTGCCAAAGGCGGGCGGGGACGGGCTCTCGTAGCTGGGGGTCATGGAGTGTAAGGCGTTCATGAAGCCGGCCGTGGACTGCATGGGCTGCGGGGGACTGCCGGCGGGAGAGGGGCCTCCAGACGACGAGGCCAGCCCCTTGGCCTTCTGGTCTTTCTTGTACTTCATGCGCCGGTTCTGGAACCAGATCTTGATCTGGCGCTCGCTGAGGTTCAGCAGGTTGGCCATCTCCACGCGGCGCGGCCGGCACAGGTAGCGGTTGAAGTGGAACTCCTTCTCCAGCTCCACCAGCTGCGCGCTCGTGTAAGCCGTCCGCGCCCGCTTGGACGCTGCCGACCCCGGGGGGCTCTTGTCCCCTCCCCCGCCGCCGCCGCCGCCTCCTCCTCCTCCGCCGCCGCCGCCGCAGCCCTCTGCTGGATCCGAGGGGGAGGAGTGGGAAGGGGAGAAAATGAAATAAAAGATAATTACTGAACACGCCGAAATTGAATGCATCGTTTCTTAATAAATCCAGGCCTGGACTCTGAGCCCCCGCCGCCCTCCCCCTCGTGTCCCCGCCTCCTCACTCTATAATAGTGGCATTTATTAAGAGACCTGTTCTCCTCTCGCTGCCCCAGCTTATGAAAATTTGATCATGTCACGCAGACAGAGCAGCACGGCCATTTATTTAGGGCTGGATTTGTGGGCGCGCTTTCTCCTCCTTATCCCAATTCCAGGTCTGGGAAGATATTCCCCCTACCCCTGTCCTGTGGACAGGGTGGATGACTGAGGAGAACCCTTGGGGGCAATTTGGACACTCGTGGGCAGGACCCCAAAATGTGGCACGAGGAGGCTGCCGTGCTGGAGGCCGGGACTCCAGACGACCCGAGAGATTGTGATTAATACCCAGAGTAATCACACTTAATGATCAGTCGCTGATGACTCTGGGTCTTCCCGGCAGCGCCCAGTTTTCTGGAGCTCTCAGAAGCTCAGGTGGAGGGTGGCTATAGGGAGAGGGTGTTGGCAGGGTCAGGGGTCATCAGGTGGTGGGGGATACCGAAAATGTGCCGCCTCTACCTAATATTGTTCCTGGGCCGCCTCGTGGGCGCCTCGGGGCTGGGTGCTAGAATAACAGTGACATTCCAGGCCTGCACAAAAGCTGACAACGAAAAAGGGAGCTGGTACCTGTGCCGGGGGAGCTGTTTTTCAGCTTGGATGTTTGCCTCGACTCTTTCATCCAGGGGAATATCTGTTTGGTGAGGGTGGAGTTGGAGCCGGGCCCGCACTTGGGGGGGCCGCTTTTGCTGGGTCCGCCCCCGTTATTGCTGTTGCTAGTGGTACTGGTAGGTGCGGCGCTGGGCGGGGGCGAGCCGGGCGGGGCGGGCAGGGGCTCGGGGGCCAGGCCGGGCCTCATGCAGCTGCCGTTGAGCTCCTTGCTCTTGGCATGCGGGGCGGCGTTGCCCAGGGACTGCAGCGAGCACGCTGAACGCTGGTAGTCGCCCTCCAGGTGCGTGGTGGCCTGAAAGGGGGGCTGGGGGGTGCCGTCGTAGCCAAAGCCATTGCTGCCAGGGTATGAGGAGTAGCCTCCGAAGAGCGCAGCCGTGGCGTTGTCGTAGTAGGTGGCTTTCTGCATCGCTGGGCGAGGCCCGGGCAGTGGGTGGCAACTTGCAAGGGCCTGGTACCCTCACGACCGGACATTGGCACCCCTGGGGGTCACGTGACAGGCCGGACCCCCCCCTCCCCTTTCTGCCCCCCTCCTCTCGGGTCTGTTCCGAGCGGCTGACCTGCGGGGCGAGAGAAGAGACACAAGGGGGAGAAGAGGACTGGGGCTCAAATCCATCTTAGGAACTGAAAAGGGAACTGACATCAATAGGGTTTTTTCTTCTCCCCTCCCCAACATTTCCAGAGCAGATGCTGAGGCTGTGTCCCTGACCTGAAATGGATGTTTCTTATCTCAACGCTTTAATTTTAAAGAAAAAAGCTCACTAGTTTTCATTTCCACTTAAAAAATAAGGACTGCACTCCTTTGGGGACTGCCTAGGTGCAGAAGCCTACTACTACAAGGGTCATTGCTTTCCTCCTGCCCGTGCATTAGCCCATGATCTCTCCTACTCCTTCTCCTTACCTCCCCCCACAACTCTGTGATAGGGTGGCTCAAGGGAGGGCGCACTAGGAGACTCCAAAATAAAGGCATCATCAACACCCTCCTCCGAGCTGAGAAGCCTCTGTGACTCATTCCTTTCTTTCCCTCCAGGTCTGTGTAAGTCTCTTTCACCCAACCAAAGTCTAGCCTGGATGAACACCAGAGGATCTTTGAAAGAAACAGGAAGGAGAAGCAAGTTCAGCAGGAAACCTTCCCCTGTGAGGTATCCTCTCTTCCCACCACCCCCATGAAGACAACAGCCTGACCTAGAAACTTCTTGAAGATTTTTAACCTCCAGAGCCAGTGGAACCAGTCCCCCTCCATCTGTGGCCCTGCTGCAGGTACCACCACCTCCAGTTCCTGTCTTTGCTCAGCCAAGCCTGGGACCTGGCCGCCAGCGGCCCCTGTTGGGCCCCCAAATGGAGCAGGATTGTTTTGATTTCCTAGACCCAGCCTGTTGGTGCTGTGACCATTTGGCTCAGGTCTCTCCCCCCACCTCTTTCTTTTTTTTTCACTGATATTTTCCCACCCTTTCCTTGACATTCAGTTTTATTTGATTTCTCCAAAAGTAAAAAAGAAATTGTATAACTGCTGGACTTTTCTACAGAGATGGAAAAAGTACTTCCTAAAAGAGAAAATTATTCCAGAGGAAAAAAATCAACAAAGCAACTTGAACAATATTGGGTTGGAAACAGAGAGTACTCCCTGTTTACTGAGGTTCTCGGAGGCAAAAAATACATACATATACGCAATCACTATTTTAACATAGCCTTTTAAAAGTGTAGCAGAAAAATAAAGATTCAAGCTGTTGTAGGATTTTGTGTATTTATTCTGAAACTTCTGACTGCATGTTTTTTCATCTTCCCCAACCCCTCAACACTTTTCAGAAAGCCTCCAGACTGACCCTCTCTTCTGACAAATGTGTTTGTAAAACTAAAATCTCATTCAGCCTAGCTGGTCAACTCCAAAGAAACTAAAAATAAGGAAATAAAAGGAGTGCAGGTGAAGGAAGTCCCTCCCACACATAAATCCCCTTCTTAATGGCACAGATTTGTACTCAAAGGGAGCTGGTGCAGCCCTGAGTTCCGATTGGTTTCTGGGAAGAATTTGTTTCTGGAAATACACATGGGTCTGCAAAGCAGCAGGTCCTTCCATGGAGAACTGGAGTTCAATTGACCAGGCTGACCCAATCCCTTTATTATTATTACCATTAGCCTCTGATGATTTAACCAAAATTAGCTTCTGGGCAGCCCTGGCTGAAGGGGGAATTAATTAACAAGCATCAGTTAAGTTTGTTATTAATAGAGAAGAGAATGAAATAAAAGCGTTGGAGAGGGTTGGCTGGCTGGGCCCTGGATTTATTTAGTCTAAATAATTGTTACAGCAATGATGATGATGATGATGATGATGATGATGATGATGATGATGATGATGATGATGATAAAAATAATAAAACAATAATTTGACTAGATGCCTGGAGCCGAAATTCCTGTCGCTCCCCCTGCAATAAACCCCAAACCATCGCAGGACCAAGGCCAGGTGAGTGTGAGAAGTGAAGGAGCCAGATACGTGATAGGAAAGAATGGAGATTCCGCCGGCGGTGAGACAGGGCTAGGAAGGTTTGTGCACGGGGGTAGCCCCCGGCCGCCGCTGGGCTGTCTCACCCGATGCTGCCGGCTGCCGCGATGGCTGGCGACGAGCTGCCAGCCGCTACGCTGGCCCAAGGAGGCGAAGAGAAAGCGATCGGGATACGAAAACGGTTATCGGCAGCAGGTTTCCAGCAGACCGGACCGGCCGAGGGCCGAGCCCCGCGGGCTGCAGCAAGTTTGGGCGCTGGAGGTAACCGAATTAAAAAAGCGCCTTAGCAACTCCACTTCGGGACTTTGCCTGGCCGGGCTCCGGACTGGAGGGCCCCAAGGCCTGGCTGAAGGGACAGTGGAAAGAGGTAAAGGTGCAGAAGGGATCCGAGATCTGGGATCCAGGAGAAGAGGGGGTGGGGAGCAGCTCTACTAAGCCAAACATGTCTATTTCCCTTGCCTCCATGTTGGAAAAATTCAGGCTCCATATGGTTTCTCGGAGGGAGGGAGGGAGGGAGCCGATGGCTCCCGGCTTCCCCCCAGGGTCTGGCTGGAGAAGGGAGGTGAGCCCCCACTCAAGAACCCCACCTTGCCAGGCGCACCCCAGGGAGGGTTGAAGAAGGTAACAATAGCTGGAGAAGCTCCAGGACAGGAGATAGACCACCTTCCAGGACGTAAAAAAAAAATTAATGGAAGGAAGAAAAATAGAAGAACACGAAAGGAAGAGAGAGAAAGGTTAGGTTCTTCTCAGCAGCCGGGGGAACACTGAGCCCTGCCTGGATCTGACTGCTGTAAGAAAAGAGGAGAAAAGGAGAGAAGCAGGAAGAGAGAGGGGGAGAGAGAGAGAGGGAGGGAGGGAGGGAGAGAGTCGCTGCGTGGAAGGAAGCTTAAAGCTTGTGAACTCTTCTTGAACCGAGATTGGAGTCATATGGGCCATAAATCATTGAGACATACTCTCCGCCATTCACAAACTGATAGCCTATTTCAGTCCAGCTTACCTTAGCCACCGACGAGGGGAGAACAGGCAGACATAATATATATTCACATCGAGCCCCAGCGCGAGCGGCAGGCGAGAAATCTCCCCTCCTTGAAGGCAAAGGAAAAAAAGACCACTGTTTAAAGCTGCGTCGCCCCCACCCCCCCCCAAAGCCACCCCGGCTGGGGACCCCGAGGGGCAGCCCGGCCAGAGGAGCCGCGCGGCGTCCGCTTCAATTCACTCGGCTTAGGAGCGGGGGTGCGCAGGAGGGCGGGGGTGGGGGAGCGGGGAAAAAAATAGAAGAAGATCGAAAGGTGCTGGGGCGGCTCAGCTGGCCGAGAATCCAGCTCCGGGCTCCGGCACGGCCAAGCCGCCACAGTGTGCTTGCCCTATAAGACTGGTACGCCCTACTCTCCGTAACAATGGCCTCTGCTTTTGCACAGGGAAAAAAAACCACACAGACACACACTCACTCACTCACTCACACACAAGCCCACACCCCCCCACCTCTCCCCCTTTAGCAAGCTTAGATGCCTGATAAGAAGGAAAGGTGATGGTGCTGATGGGGGCGGGGGGACATTTTTAAATATGCCCCCCCCCCCAAAAAAAAAAAAGAATGAGAAGGAAAGAAGGTAAGATGGTGTTTGGTTTCATTCTGTTTTTGTTTTTGTTTTTTTTTAAGAACAGGTAATTTTTTAAATTGAGATTGGGGGACAGGGAGAAAGAGGACAGCAAAGGCAAGGAAAATGGGTGGAGTTCACAGCTCCCCCCACAGCCCACTAGTGACCCATTATGCTAATATGAGAGAGCATTGGGAGGCCTAGTCAAAGGCTCGGCCTCGCCTGGGGTGGGGGTGTGGGTGCCTCTGCGTTCATTCGCAGTTGGAACACCAGGACTTTTTTTTTTTTTTTTAAGTAGTTTCACTCTTCCAGGACTGGTGGCTGGGCTCTGGCTCCCTCAGCCTCGCCTGGGGTGGGGGTGTGGGTGCCTCTGCGTTCATTCGCAGTTGGAACACCAGGACTTTTTTTTTTTTTTTAAGTAGTTTCACTCTTCCAGGACTGGTGGCTGGGCTCTGGCTCCCTCCTTCTGAGTCTCCCAGTCTCTGCAGCTTCTCTCCTCCATGCGCTCTCTATTCTTTCTCCCTCCCCCCTCCACCCCAATTTCCAGGCTCAGTCTCTAAGAGAGGGAGCTGGACAGGCCAGATCTTTTTTTTTTTTAACAACCCCCTCTTTTTTTTTTTTTTTTTTTGAGAACAGACAACAAGCGGTGAGCGATGATTTAAAAAACCCAGAACATCTTGCAGGGGGAGGGGGTTGAGAAGAGGGTGACAAAAGGAGGACCCTGTGTTTAGCTCGAGCCCCAGACACGGCTGGCAGTAGAGGGGCTGTAAGAACTTCACGGAGAAGTTTCTGTTGAGATTCTCACCTCCAGACAGGCAGAAGGGGCTAAGAGGTGATAGGGACATTTGTACTTCTAAGAAAGCGAGAACTGGCAGAATGTCTTAATTTTCAACGCACTGGTAGAAGAGAAGGAGGAGGGTTATTATTATTATTATTATTACTCAGAACAAACCTGTTTGTTTCTCTCTGCTCTGCAAGATTTATGGCTCTTGGCACAAGTGAGGAAGGCTACAAAAGCTAAAGTTTTCTTAGGGGGGGGTGAGCAGGGCAGGAAGGCGAGGAGAAGGCCTGTAGGAGGAAGACAGGAGCCAAGAATGTAGGTGTCTGCAGATTTGGGGCAGGGGGGTTGGCAAGAGCCATTCCCAGTGGGGGAGAAAGACAAAAAGAGCGCCAGGACATTTCCCAAAGCAGGAGTGTTTGCAACTCTGCCTAACTGCTGACTCGGGGCTTAGGGGACAAAATAGAAGGCAGACTAGTCTCTGTTTTCTACAAAGGCAGCTTGGAAAACTGGTTCCCTTAACTTCGTGTACACAGAGCCAGCCACAACCCTGTGATTTCCTGGTTAGACTACTTGGCTTTTGCCTTCTCCCATCTGGAAGCAGCAGGAGAAGCAATGGGACTGGGGAAACAAAGGTGAGAGATTATTTCCAGCTATTGTCCCACTTCAGGAGAGGGTGGCTGTGTCTGGCAAAGCTTTCCTCACACCCTCTCACTCCCCACTCACAGGATCCGATTTGGGATGAGAAAGGGAGAGGCCCGCACTTCTTCCAGGCCTGCTAAGTCAGGCCAGGTGTGCTGGAGCAGCCGGTTTCCTGGGACCCCGCTGAAGGGGGAGTCTGTGGCCTCCCTACCCTCTAGCAACAGGAGCCACATATAGAGTCTCCGGCTGTGATGTCCTGAGGATCCTTCCTCCTGCCTGGAGAGTTGGTGGCTGGAGGAAGGGAAAAAAAGATGAGGATGGAGGGTGGGAGCCATTTTTTCTGTGTTTATTGATAGTATCAAGAAAAGAAAATGCCCAAGCCAGGCCCTGTATTAGGGCTCAAGTCAGGCCCTCAAAGAGACCATTAAGGCTGCCTAATGTGGCTGTAAGTAATCTGTCCTGAGATCTCTAGATCCTGGTTAGAGACCTACAGGGCCTGGTGGGTCAGAGATTTGGGACAGGGAGGCTTCCAGAGGCTTGAGGATACCAGCACCTTTGCATCTGTTCCCTCCCCAAAATAAAAATATCAGGAATGTACATCAGACCCTCAGGCTCTCCTAGCTGTTATTATCACTGAGAGAAGGTCATTGTGAAACTGAGAGAAGAGGAGGACCAGTTCGCTTGTGAGACCGCACAGCTTTGCCTCGAGGAATAAAACGAGGGCAGCCAGCTGCCGGCTGCGAGGAGATGGGCTGCGGGAGGAGTGGGCCTGGAGCTGAGCTGGGGTGGAGTGTTCCAGAGACAGCAGCGGACCCCTTCCCTTCTCCATCCCTTGTGGTCCCTTCTGGCTACAGAAGGCAGTGGGGCATAGTGGGGTGAAAGCAAAAAGGAAGACTGGGGAGCAAGAAAAACAAACCTGGAGAAAATTTCAGAGGACACACACCCCCAGATGCGGCAGGAGATGGAGTGGGGGCTTCTTAATTCTGAAGAACAGAATCCATTTGGAATGCTGGGAGGTAATTAGATCCCAGTTTGGTTTCTTTCTTGCCTTTTTCTCTTTCTTTCTCAGAGGTTTCTGGCTAGCAGGCTGACTGCCCCTGACTGGGGCTGGGAGGCTGGAGGGTGGATGGTAGAGCGGGCAGCTCCGAGGGTGCCCATTTCGTTTGAGGAGCTGCTGCAGTAGGGACTTCTCAAACTTTAGGAGACAAAGGCGGAACACTGAGGAGCTTAGGCAGGGAACCTGTGTCAGAGGATGCCCACGGGGTCTGAGGAAAGACTTTAGGGTCTCAGAAAAGAGAAAAGAGTGGGGAGAAGGGTTGGAGGTAGAGAAGAAGAGGAAACTATTTCTTTCTGGATTCAGGGAAGGAAACTTGGGCTATTTTGGGGAAGGGGGAGAAATTGCAAAAGAAAAATTGAGACGAAGATTAAGAGACAGAGACACTAGAGTAAACTAATAAAGGCAAAAACTTAATAATAAAGGTAAAGATTAGAGAAAACCTCCCCCTTCAAAGACATCCTTTCCTCTTCCATTCGTTTCCGAAGAGCCAGAGCGCTGTCGCTGGCCCTCTCCTTCCCTGTTCCTACCTGGCACTTTACCAGTACCAGGAGACAAGGGGCACTTTAAACCCCCTCAAACAATCACTGGCCGCCCACCCTTCTGGACCCTGGTGGAATCACGTCTGTTTCCCCCTCCAAAAAATCCATTTCAAAGAGCAAACGAAAAATTTCTCAATAAGGGCACGCTGGCTGGCTCCTTTAAAATCAAATTCTGATCTCAGCCTTGGGATGGCCAGGGATCCTGCCCCCAGCTCAAATAGCACAAAATTCGCCTGGCTCGCTGGGGACATGGGACCTGGGAGCCTGGGGCCAGGGGGTTAGCAACTGGTTTCTTTCTGGCCCCGTCCGGGTTTCCACACTATTTTCCACTCTTTTGTGGCTTCGCCGCCCAACTTTGTGGAGGCCACAGAGAGGTGTAAAATTCACGCTCACCCAAATCTCCATCTCCTCTTAAACATTAATAAAGATTTCAAAACTGGGGGTTGTAAAATGGGACTTGCTGATGAAGATGGCATTTGGCATTTGGACCCCCAGTTCGCAGCTGTCTAATTCGCCGGAGCGGGAGATAACAAAGGGGCCCAGGGAAGATCTCAGCACCTCCACAGATGCCCGCATAGACCTGGCTCAGCAGTAGCAGGGATCAAAAGGGAAGAAAAGGCTGCTACGGTGGGAGAAGAAAAATCCAAGCTGAACTTTCCCCCCACCTCAGGCATGGGGGCGCTGCCCTTTCCTCAGCCGAGCTTGCGAGGGAGAGGCAGGAAAACACGGGGCAGCCACGAGGTTCTGCAAAGTCTACTCGGTGACCATGGAGGCCGCCTGAACAGGCTCATGAGGTGGTTGGTGCTGCGAGCTCAGTCGGGAGCCACGGGCAGGCGGGCTCCTTGGTGGGGAATGATCCCGTTCTGAATCAGGGGTCCTGCCTCATCCAGAAGCAAAATCCTGTCCTGGCAAACCCCACCCCCAGGAAGTGTCCACACAAAGGTGGGCCGAATGGAAACGGCAGAGGGGGAGAGGCTTCAAATCTTGGGCAGCTTGGAGGGGGGTGCTGGGGAAGAGAGGGAGAGGCAGGCAAGAGAGAAACAGGGGCCCAGTCCGCTGTGAGCGGCTGTGCGGGTCTCTCTGACAGATTGAATGTGTCTCTCCCAGTGACCTCTGTTTAGCAGACAATAACTCACTGGATTAATGACCAATCAGCGAAAAGCCTTCCGAATTGCCTCCAAATATAAAACTCCAAAATCTGAATGGGACAGGGCCATAAGAATCTAGGCCTGTCAGACCTTTGGGTTTGTTCTCTCCCAAAATATGGTTTGGGGAGAGGCTTTAGGAAGTGGATTATCTGGCCAGAGATGGAGCTTTCTAGAACCCCAAAGATGAAGCTGTTTTCCATCTCTTCCCACTTCCTCCCACACAATTCATATCCCAAACCACACTTCCCAAGGCAGCCTAGAAACCTCCCTTCGCCTGCTGGCCTCCTCATATCCCTGATCCTACAAGAAATTTCCCTTCTCACAAC